TACCAAATGCTGTATCTTATTTAATTTTAACTAATATACTTTCCAAATGGTTTAGTATTTTGTTGTTTTAAACAAAAAAGTTGAAGAGATGACTCTAGAAACTAAGTCAAACTGAGATGAATTAACGTGGGACATATAAAAAAAAAGTATGTTGCTATTACATGATCTAACCCCCAACAGATAAAAGGAAAACAAAAATAGAATTGAGGGAGAAGGTGATTAAAGCTAAATTTTATATGCACCAGGTATACTTCTCTCAAGCATTATGCAACCATCTGCACCCAAAGTCACAATTACAAACTTGACCTTTGGCAACCTTAACAGCATGGAAACAAGTGCACTTGGAACAGTTGGAGCTTCAGTCCATGCCTGTTAGTTGGGAACATGCAGCCATACACAAACATAAATTCCTAATTCTATAAATAATAAATCCAGCTCACTTTATTGGAGAGAGAAGTAATCTTGTCAAATACTAAAACATTACAGGTAGATAATTTGGAAGCTTGCCTGTGGAAGTTTTGCAGAGCACACAACATAATCAGATAAATACATAAAATCATCCAACCCGTCCCTTAGCCTTTCAGCATCAATTAAGATAGGTATATTCCTCCGATTTGCCTGCACTGGTAGAGCATTTAACAGGGATCATTTATTTCCATTTATGATTAAATAACAAAAGACACAGCTGATTTCTGACTATAATATGCCTTGAAATTGCAGTTTCGTGCAGATTAGAAACCACAACACTTACCTCATGTGCAAGAATTAAAGCAGTTTCATGCAATCGTACATCAAAATAAGCAAGCTTCACGCCATCTAATGCTGATTTTAAAGTTGAGCTGGAGATGTCTGAAGGAATCATTGGAGGCCACCCTGGAGTATGAATGCATGTTCGAGTTTTCCTGGAAACAGCAGAATTGAAACAAAAGATAAATAAAAATAGTACAACAAAAAACAAATTTAGGTACCCTTACGTTTGATTATCCACAATGATATAGGTAAATGCTGAATTTCCCTCTTCGGAAACCTGCAAACAGGAAAAAAGTAAGCTTTGATGTATTTGTAACAAAATCATCCAAAGATTCATGCTACCTGATACTATGACAAGAGTTTTTAACAATCTATTGATTTAACATTATATGTTATATATGTTTATGCAACGAAATAATTGTCATAAAGCCATGTTCATTACCACAAAAAAAGAGATATCTACACCATCAACTTGTAATTCTTCCAATACTCCTCTCCCTTGAGCATCATTGGCAACCTGACAAGTAATTTGAGCACATGGGATACGATTCAGAATGGCTAAGTTAGTCTTAACATGATTAGGAGAGAAAAAGATTCATCTCATATTGGAAGCTTACTACTAGCCACAAAACCACAACTTGAAATAACTAGTTTTAGCATGAAGTCTTCAGCAAATCAAATCTGCATTTTGCATACCTTGGATATCAACCTTGCATTTAATCCTAGACGAGCTGCACAAGTTAGGGCATTTCCTGCATTTCCACCTCCTTGAACCTGAGAACAAGTTTGAGTGAATGATAAGTAAAAGAGCAACTTCTGAATTCAAGACTTTCAGTAAACTTCTACAGCTCTACAACAAAGATAGACACAGTTGAAATGAAGTGCAAACACAATTGACAAGATATCCTTAACTTATTTGACACCGCCCCAAAAAAGACCATTAATTTGAAAAATGGGGTAGATAATTTTACAACTAGTTTGCCTGTTGGACAATAATATTATAAACCCCAACCAAATTTGGACTAATAAAGACCCACAAAAAGAAGCAAATTAAATTGAGCACCCTTGATGAAAACGTGAAGTAGAAAAGAAGCATGACAGTTTCAAAAAGCTAAAATCCAAGAATTTCGGATAAAACTGATAGAAGAATTTCAATGGATACTTAAACACCTGTTTACAGAAGAGAACAGTGGTAATAAGATCAAATAGACTGTTGAATGATAGTGATCATGATTCATGAATAAGTTTGCACTGCAAATTCTGCAACAGCTGCGGATTTCACTAAAAAATAAGCTATTAATTGCATATATACAAAGGTAAAAAGCATCACTAATATCACAATTTCCAAATCCCCAAATAATAGATCCAGTAATCGAAGTCACAAAACTTGACTTAATTTGATTGATTAACGAGCTGTTGTATCAAGCATTATCAGTACAGATATAAACTCTAAAGCAACAAATGGTGAAATGGATCACCTAGATTATTTATTACCTTCATGCTGGTGCTTCTGATCTTGTCGTCAGGGTTGGGAAAAGAAGCCACAGTCGCCAAGAGATCCACCGACACACCACCAAATCCAAACTGTGTTGTTAACACCATAAATATCCAATCATAACTAACATATATCGTGATTATTAGTCAAACAGCTATAATTAATCATATTTGCTTGTACTGCCGTATATGAGAAAGTAGCAAGTGGAAATACGTACCACGACTGGACTATCAGACTGACTCGACGGAGACGACGCCATGTTTGCCCTGAATATATTTCCAATGAGTCTGTATACCGGAATTGAATTGAATAGTGCGAGGAGAGAGTGAAGAAGGATACCTGAGGGTCGTGGAGGAGGAGCGTGAAGAATAGGAGATGAAACTCGGGAGCATTGGACTAGTACTGGTAGAGAATATGGCTGTCATTGTCAGCCTTGTGCGTTGGTGCGTCTCGCCTCAGAGTAACCGATTTTGCCTGAAAAAAATCACAAAGGGAGGGGAGGAACAGAGCAAGTCACATCGGTCATCCTATTTCACCAACTACACTCCAAAACTCTAGCAAGGTATCTGGCCTCTTTTGAATAGAGTGTTCCCGTGAGACATAGCTGGGGAGAATTGTAGATAATTGTAGAAAAATAATAATAATAATAATAAATCTAGGGTAAATTACATGAATAGTCCCTTTAGTTTGGGTTAGTCTATGCTTTTCGTCCATAACTATTGTTTTTAATTCGGACCATTATAAATCCTTATAGCATGTGTTTCAGATTTAGTACCTACATGTAAATGACCATTATAAATCCTTATAGCGTGCGTTGCGCAGAAACATCTATATAGTTGAAGTCTTCACAAATATATATATATATTTTTTAATTTCTTTCATTGTAATTATTTATAACATCAAATTTTGATTTTAAATGTAACATTATAATCATTTATATAGAGTTATTTTTAACTATTGTTATTGTAAGTTATTTTAAGCTACTTATTTGAAAAATTTTAACGATTATAAAAATATCTTTAGAAAATATTTTATTTAAATTGATATTACAATTTAGTTTCTGATTTTAGCACTACAATTTATCACTTTTAACTATTCATAAAATATTCTTTGGGTTTCTTAAATGGAACTAAAACTTATATTGAAGTTGACCTTGTAATGTTATATTTAAATAAACAATTTAAGTATATTGTCACAACTGTTCAAAAGTTGTAGCTTTAAACTAACAATGGTTTACATACAACATGTTAAATATAATAAATTAAGTATAATATGTTAAACGTTAAAGACATAACTGTAGAAGTAGAAGTAAAAATATTATTTTAATATTGAAATTTAGTTTATTTGTGATTACACTTTAGGTTTGATACCTATTTAAGCTTATTAACCAACTTATAATTATTATTAGAAAGACTCTACAATTTATCACTTTTAACTATTTACAAAATATTCTTTAGGTTATTTAAGTTGAACTAAAATTTATATTTAAGTTGATCCTGTAAGGTTATATTTAAATTAACAATTTAAGTATTTTATACAAATTTTTCAAAAGTTGTAGTTTTAAAATGATAATGGTTTACATACAACATCATATTATACCTAATAAATGAAGAATAATATGTTAAAAGTTAAAAATATAATTTTATAAGTAGAAGAAAATATATTCTTTTAATATTGAAATTTAGTTTATATATGATTACACTTTAGGTTTTATATTTATTTAACCTTATTAACCAACTTATAATCATTATTAGAAAGAAATTGAAAAGTCATGGGAGTTTCAAATGAATGTGGTGAAAGGAAAAATGCTTCCTTTATATATATATATATATATATATATATATATATATATATATATATATATATATATATATATATATATATATATAGAGAGAGAGAGAGAGAAAGAGTTAGGTTCAAATGTTTTTGATAAGTATTGTGTGCATTGATGCACCAATCACAATTTAGCAAATTATTAAATAATTAATTAAATTGTTATCCCTTTATATTAGGAAATGATTATGACTGATTGTGATTATCATTAATTTAATCCTTTATATAATTCTTTGAAACGTTCTCCACTTACAGATCACAAAAATTGATTCTAGGTAATCATTTTTGCTCTCTTATTGTATTGCTCAATTTTTGTTCTTTGATTTTTTAAATATATTATATTCTTTTTATTCTAACAGAATTAAAATTTATTTCATTAACAACACTATAATATACTCAAAAGTTGCCATTCAAACAGAATGTCGACAAAATCACAAAATACGCAAAAATTTCATATAATTGTAATTCTAACATAATCTTACAAATTAGAATTCTATCAGAATATTATACATTTCAGCTCAATACAAATAAGCCACTATACATGTCACACTCATATACTTCGTTCCATTCTACAAGTATATCCATGTCTAAGAATTTGATTCTAAGAGAATGTAAAATCATATACAAAAGCTCATTCTAACATAATACAAAATCATTAACCTCTTATCTACATAAAAAAAGCATGAAACTCACATGTATATTTGAACTGCAAAATGATGTTTGTAGAAGATCATTTTGTAAACAAATGTTGGTTTTCTTAAGTCATAAATCTAAAAACAGTAACATATTGAAAACCCATAAAATATGATAAGTAGAACATGCAACATACCAATCTAACCAAAACCTACAACTGACTGCATTTACTTGGAATGAATGACAAGGTCTCCTTCTCGAGATCATGAACCACCATCATATTCTGTTGTTAAATATTTCCAAATATTGAAATTCCACTTGAACCCCCCTTCGTCAAACACGCCACTCCAGTATTCATATCTCCGATCATGTAATTCTTCCCTGGCAAATCCAAACTCGCACCATCAAAATGAAACACCAGCTTGGGAATCTCGATCGACATCTCCCCTGAACCATCATCTGAAGTTAACTCAAAACATAAATCCAAACAAGTCGAACCCGAGTTATCTACATTCAAATTCGTTTGTGAAACAAATTCTTTATTCAGCATATTAAAAGCAAATTCTTCAAGATACGTAATGGTTGTACCCGAATCGATGATGACCCCACCTATCCCATATGAATTGATTTCTAAAGTCGATTTCTTGATAGGCAAATCAACGTTTCCGATAGAAATACCTTGGAGTGAAAGGTAGTAAAAGGATGGTTGTGATGGGTTTTTGATCGATGGAGTGGTGAAAACGCTATCATTTGCTATTTGGCTTTCTAAAGATCCCATTACGAGAGTACTTGATGGGTTTCCTGATGATGTATCATCATTAATGGAGGTTAAACAATAAGAAAATGTTGACTTTTTGAGTTGTGAAACTAAAGACAAAGGTTCCCTTCCTAACCCTACTAACCCAACACCTTGATTGAACCCACTACCTTCATTATCTTCTGCACAACCAAACCCGACTGACGGCACAGACACCTTATCGAACATAAACGTCTTTGTTGCTAAAATATTACATCGAAAAATATGCTAGCATAATGACATTGAACTCAATAAATAATTATTATGTCAGAATTTTTTTTGGGGGATCAATTCAAAATCTAATAATCACTAACTATTCTTAAGAAATTACTCAAAATTGACACCTTCATCGCAATGAAATCATCAGCGTCATCTTTAGGATTCAAGACCGTCTCTAATGTGTTCTTGAACTTCGACTTGAATGAATTCGATCTTGTACTCCTCATTCTTCAAGAATACCGTTCACACAAACCCCTAAATGTCGATTCCGTCTTCTAGGGTTTAATGTCGATATTTATATCAAAAGTCTTCACAAAATCTTCCGATTTTGAAGAAAATCTACAAAAAATCAGAACACATTTGAAGCTCCGAAATCACTGGGTTCTTGATTTGATATTATGCGAGATATTTGTGTTCATCGGTGGATCATTGCCATACTTATCGACAATTTGCTATTAAAATGAAGAAGCAATGTACAATAATACCCTTCCGCGCCCAATCAATTAATGAAACCCTATTAAATTGTTTTGTATTCTATTTAATTTTAAAAGAAAAATCACTTTCTAAAATTATCAAAAATGATTGGCCTAGAATCCATTACACAAGCACACAATACTTAACAAAAACAAAATAACCTAACCTTATATTTATATATATATATATATATATATATATATATATATATATATATATATATATATATATATATATATATATATATATATATATATATAACACCGCCACTTACGTTTTTAATCTCTTTCTTTCTTCCTCTGCAAATCGAAAAGTCCATTAGCCGTCGATCAAAAACACTACTACTATTTCTCTTGAAATTTTATTCCAGCCGTCACTCATAGTGTTTCAATGAAACCTTGAATTTTATTTTAAAATTAAGCTATCAATATTCAAGAAAAATAGGAGGCTTGAAGCTAATGCCAATGGTAGTGGAAAGAAAATCATGACAGGTTAATTTCTATATCTTCTCTTTATAATTTATTATGTTGCCAATTGAGATAAAAGTATTTAGATCTCTTTGAAATTTATTAGTATTTGGTTTTTGTTTTTAAAGAATAACATTAATGCTTTTTGAAAGTTGTAAGAATCGGTGGATGTAAATCGCAATAAGATTTGTATATATAGTCATTAATGTTTTTTTCATTATTGTCTATATCTTCAGTTTGTTATTTGATTTGTAGTCAGTGGATATTAAAATTAGTTTTTAATTGTATTTTTCCAATCTCGCTGTGTAGTTTTAAAATTTCATTTAATTTAATCCACAAATTATTTGAATTACAGTAAAGTTATATATTCTAATTGTATCTCAATGATAGCAATATTTTCTTGACGTTAGCATTTTGATATGGAAAAAAACATGAAAACAAATTTTTGTTGTTGTTAGATTTTAATGTTTTTTTATATTTTAGGTTTTGAAGAGGCAGCGATTGATGTGATGAAGAAAACAAAACATAGAGAACGTTTATTATTGAAAAAATATATAAAATGATTATTAACAATAATATTCTCTTAAAATGGATTAGTGTTTTTATTAAATTTTATAGGTTTATTCTTTTAAAATATACTAAAAGTTTTAATATTTTAAAGTTGATTATGTTTTTTGTTTTGTGGATATAGATTTTGACGAGACTGCCATTAACATGGAAAAAGAAGAAAACATGGAGAAAGAGAGTACTCTAGCACAATGTATTATGCCAGAATGTATAAAGTGTTTATTAACAATAATATTCTTTCAGAATAGATTAGCATTTTTATTAGATTTTGATGTTTTTATATTTATTTTTTTTAACCATTCTTTGTTTTAATCTTTAAGAATAAATGCAAGTCTTATTCTTTACGAATTAACGTAATTAGTGATTTTTAAAAAATAAAATTCATATTCTTTAGAAAATATTATTCTTGATAATATGTTGTATAATTTTTTAAGTATGTTAACTATAAAAACTATATTGAATGAACCATATTCTGCAAAAATAAAATCGAAAATAAATTTACTAGTTTATGTTTGACTCTCTGTCATTCGGATAGAATAAAATCGGTTAGTATTAGAAATTATAATAGAATTAAATTTGAATCAATTTAAAAAATTCAAAATTAAAAAAAGTAAATTAATTATCCCTTAAAATCCGAAATTTTCCTTTTTAATATAGGTTAATTGATCAAAACACCTTTCTGCTGAAATTTGTTTGATTATAAGGTACATGTTACCCTATTGTAATATCGTAGATCTTCAGATCATGATCATTGATTTTATTAATCCAGTGGTCCAGAATTATGCTTACGGGTACACAATAGATGTTAGAAACAAAATAATCTAGCTATATATATATATATATATATATATATATATATATGTGTGTGTGTGTGTGTGTGTGTGTGTGTATGTGTGTGTGTGTGACATCCCAATTTTTACGGCCAGAAAAGACCGATTTTTTGTTTATGCTTTATAAAAATCAGAGTACTTCTTTTAATAAAAATGTTGCGGAATTTGTTCCCAAAAAAACATGATAAATACGTTATTAAAACATTTTCGAAGAAACGTATTTTATTCATTTCAAAACGTTTGGGATGTCATCGTTAATACAGAAACATAAGCATAAATAAAACTTACATTTATTTACACTGGTGATCTACATCTCCTTAAATCTCTCAGTGTAAAGTGACCTCGTATCAACACCTGTGATATAAATAAATTGAGTGGGTCAGGTTGGGAAACCTGGTGAGTACATAAGGTTTTCAACCCACAATAATATAGTTATTATGTTTAAACAATCAAACAATCAACCCAATTACCCATCCCCATTATCTTCTTTAGTCTTAAGGATCTACCCTAAGAATCAACTATTCCTCGTTTATTTATTTCTAAGGATCATCCTAAGGAATCGACACGAAGTCCATCATTACTAAGGCTTATAGAATATATCTGGTGAACACGTAGTCCAAAACATCTAGTAAACACTTAGTTCAAAAGTAACTAGTGAACACACTTAGTTCAAAATACCTAGTGAACACACTCAGTTTAAAGATACCTAGTGAACACACTCAGTTCAAAAATACCTAATGAGCACCTAGTTCAAAAACACCTACAAGTTACGAGCCTGCTATCGTTCCACTGGACCGTCTAGTATCGTCTATGGTTGTCATCTATACTCCACTAGATGACCGGATCACTGACAACAATGATGTCTTCCATCGTGTTATCACACAACAGCTATTTCATCTACCCATGTTTTACCTAACACATTTTGTAGATATAAAATACATATACACTTTAAATCATTTAAAACATGTATAAAAATCTTTCACCCAACATAGGTAACAAGTATTCAGATAATATGCACACATAACACGTAATTTATATTAAAATACTTCATATCTATGTGTAAGATGAAAAGGAACTATGCACTCACCTGATAGGTGGTGACTCAACACTCGGACAGCGCTTCGATACTCTCAAAACAACTTTCCTTCGATAAAACCTAGTATCAACACCACTAGGGTTTAGTCTACCGATATCCACGACAAATTAATAGTCTGACTATTATTATTATTATATAAGCGTTAAGTAACACTCTATATAACTCATAATAATAGCCCAAATAATTATTTTAAGGACTTAATAACATTACTATATCGAAACATAAGCTACGCTAAAGATAGGGTAGGCATAGCTCACTTACAGCGGGTTTTCTCGAAAACCGGGCTTCGCTGGAGCAGCGTTTCCGAGCCGAAAGATCCTTTTTCTCGGGACTCCTGGAGCCTCGGGGCTTCCTTTGGGTGCTAGGGGGTTTACCTAGGCTTTAGGGGGGTTAGGGAGCTTAGAGAGAGAGAGTATAGAGAGAGAAAGAAGAAGGTTGAGGGGTGAGCAAATGAGGGAACCCGACACCTCTATTTATAGGGGTGCTGACTGGCCTACTTGCCGAGTAGGAGGACCTAATCGCCGATTTATTGCATGTGGCAACCTTCTGGTGGTGCCACGTCACCCCTATCGCGTATCAGCCTTCAAACTTAGAAAAATCACAACTTTCGCATACGAGCTCCGTTTTAGACGTTCTTTATATCCACGCGTAGGTAAAATCAAGATCTACAACTTTCTTTTAGACTCCGTCAGCTAATTCTCAACCGATCTCAAATTTAACAGTATGAGGCGTTTAGACTGTTAAATGACCGCGAAGAATTCATAACTCCTTCATACGGACTCCGTTTTCGTCTGTCTTTTTACAGTTGAGTTCCTATTAATGAGATCTTAAACTCTCATT